TCGGCTAACTTTTGATTAAATAACGGGATGTCCAAATACAATGTTTTTTTTTTATAAAGAGCATCGACTCAGACTGCTCAAATCTTATAGTTTGAGTTGATTCTGATATTTAGCGAGAGGAACCCATTTGATTTTAAGTGAACACTTCCACTCGAAACTATTTTGAAGGAGACTGAAGGTCAAAATTACGCAAGTTGCAGTAGGTACCCCACCCTTCTACATTACGTCGGGGTCCCACGCTGCATAATCCGCTCAATACCACCCTAAATCCACTACTGTGCAGCAACCTTCCCATGCTTCCGAGAAACAGCCTTCAGCTCCGGCCGTGCAATGTGCTGCGCACGACACTCGCTCAGCCAACTACACGGGTCATTACTGGCCTGCATGACCGGTATCGCACGGGCCATTTGACGCCCGGAACATCGCCAAGAAAAAACGCCAAACTTGGCTTTTATGCTTGCTGGGCCACTGAGCACCAGCGAGAAGCGATCATAAATATTGCGGAGCGAAGCGCCACTCCGTGGCGTTTCTGACTCGGTCGAGCGACTTCGTCACATGACCAATATACCTGACCGGCGGAATCTGTGAACTTGTAATAGCTTCCGGTATTGCAGCGGGTAAATCCGAGTCGGGTGTTTTAGCCATACAATACTCAGATATGCCGCAAATAGATTGTGGCGTTGTTCGAAACACAATGAACGCCTGACATCCTTTACACAGCCAAAGGGAGCTGAGTGTTTCGATTAAGCGCCCCTGTTTCCGCTTGTTAACACGACCAAACAATGATGCTGGTGCTTGGCTGTGCAACCATATCCGCAAAACGGGGGCGATTTGCTGCCGTCTGTTGTTCTGCAAGGTATAGGCATATCAGAAACATGCGTGCTGGTAAGTATGAATTGGCCATGTCTGCTTTCTGCACGAAATAATGGAAAGCTAGGCCATGCTAAGTGATTGACGTTAGCATTCCGCAATTCCGGTAAAAGGGTTGCCGATATTCAATCGCAGTCTGCAACAGGAAATATCAAATATGAACAAAACGGAAGAGAGAGAGAGAGAGAGAGAGAGAGAGAGAGAGAGAGAGAGAGAGAGAGAGAGGGAGAGAGAGGGAGAGGGAGAGAGAGAGAGAGAGAGAGAGGGGGTGAAGAGAGACCGGAGGTGACGTCACATGAACACTGAAAACTTTTTTACCATTTCCTGAAGGGTAAACCCGCCATAGCATGGTAGCTTGACACACAGACGTTTTTTACCACCTTCCAGATGGTAAATTTTACTCTTTCATGAAGAGTAAACTCGCCAGGGAGGGGTAACATGACACACAGACGTTTTTTACCATCTTCTGAATGGTAAACTCTTTTGATTTACTCTTGCCTAGAGTGTAACATTTTTTAGGTTACACTCTTTAAAAGGGTAAATCTTAAACGGAACCCTTTTCTAGGGAGTAACGCATCATCTACTCTGTGCTTTACCCTCCTACAGAGAGTATATTCTTCTGGCCTACCCTTTGTCACATGGTAATGTTTACTCTTTCCTTTAGTGTAAACCCCCCAGAGGATGGTAACAGACTCACAGACGCTTGCTTCAGAAGCTTCACGAAGCTTCTGTTAACCGGAGCTCACCAACAAAAAAACATGCTTCAAGAGCAACAATGTATATTTGGCTTCCGTACAAACAATACGAGGGGCACACCAGCCATGAACATTGTGAGACTCTTCACTTATAAGAATTTATACGAAGCGTTCAGCAATGCACAAGCGGTAAATAAACACCACGATACAACTTGAATGCACTTTGAATGTGAATACAAGACATTCAGCGCCCTCATATTGGATAAGGCACAGCGCACAATATTTGAATAGAGCGACGGCGTTCCTGGGTGGTCGCCCGTCTGCGTGAGATAATGAGACTGGATCACTACAGTGCAAGGCTTTTTCAAAGTCACCAACAAAATGCATAAACTTGTAGCATCACAACAAAATTAATGTACGTACTCACAACCTAGGCCACGTGGCCGTGCACGGGGTCCTGTTAACCAGGTCAAATTAACACCACTCAACGGCATGCAATGCTCTAGCACATCGGTACTTACAATAAAATGTCCACAGAGGCTCTATAGGCGATGAACAACACGCAAGCACAATCACCAACGGCCACGCCGCGCGGCACCGAGACACTGCTCACATCCGCTCTCGGAGACCAACGGCCGAAAACTGACAGATGCGCGCGGCCTTCAAACCGCAAACGGCCGATCTCGTTTCTGATTGGCTGAGTGATTCCATTTCAAATATCATCTTCACGAGGGTAAACAAGATCCACCCATGAAACGACTATCTGTACACGAGTCACGATACCCAGAAGGAAAGAGTTTTCGTGATGTTCTGGATCGCGAGAGTAATATTGATATTTACATGGTAATAATACTCTTCGCTGGCGAATAAGTTCATATTAACCACGTACCGTTACTATGCACATAATGGTAGCAAAGAGTTACCCTTTCAATATACTCTTATCTTGCTGGTTTGATGAAAATGAACCCTCCAGGAGGTAGTAAAAAGGTTTTGAGTGAACGGCCACACAACCCAGGAAGACTGTCTTGCGTGTCTGTGTGCGGATGCTCCGATAATGTGCTGTGACCCTGGAGCGGGTGCTCCGATATAATGACCCTGGAGCAGGTACTCTGATACAGTGACCCTGGAATTACCATAGGGCAGTGACAGCCGCCCCGCGGGCCAGGAACGGACCGCCACGCTCCCTGTGCATGACACTCACCGAGTCAGGAGAGCGGGCGACCCATCCCAGCGCGCACGGCTCGCCGGCCATCTTATTAAAGACAAGTGAAGCATGTATGAGCGGAAAATGAGCCGGCTCGCTGTATTCCAAGACGCAGGTGCCTTGTGCGCCGAACAATGCCAGAACGCCGGGCCCCGCTGAATATCCGGCGCGGTGACGGGGGCTGCTCAGAGGCGTGGCCACGGTAGTCACGGATGCGCGATATGAGACCCGTGACTGATTCAACAATCAACATGGAGGTCTGCTGTGGTAGGTATCAGGCATGATTACCGGCATCCGTCTCTGCAGTCACGGCTAGTTAGATGTAATAGTGTAATTGCACTATCGGTCTCTGTGAGACCACCCATGACAGGTTTCGGTGAGGTTAATTGGCCGCGGGGCAGTTTTGGAGTGACGTTACTTTTCTTGGAAGAAGTTTAACTAACGGTGTTTTATCATACCATGTTTTGGTTTGATTTTTAAATATGGTGTACAGAAATATTTTGAAAAAATCCCATATTAGTGGAGGACGACAATGTAGAAAGTATTGATTGTTAGGCCTAGGGTCCATTTGATAAAAAAAAAAACAATGCAATCCTCCAGCCGGGTACCAGGTTTTGCAGTGTCCTTTAGTACCATTCTGAGCTTGTTTGCGAGTGTCTCATCCCTTGAAGCATCTCAGACGGACGGAGCCGTATTAGAGCTGGCAGCTTCAGGCTCTGGCGCCCACAAAACAGCGTGAGTCGCAGCAACAACACATCGCCTCCGTGGCAAACAGATGCCAATCACGCTGACAAATCGCTGTGCTCACCATCTGAGCGGCAAGATAGTCCATCAGAGGAACACGTGCCGGGTAACGCACGCTCAAGAAGTGATTGATTTCACCATCGCCGCCCCGTACCGAGAGCGGCTCCGTTTGCTCGAGCTATGAACGACCCCAGTCATGACCGGGCACAGGTCGAGAGGCGCATAACCGCGCACGACAGGCCTTTAGCCATCGCTGGCCGCCGGTTTAACTGCCCCCGCGCCACATCGTCAACCGTTCGCCGGTACTCCGAGACGGCCGTCAGCCACGGTCTTCCGCACGACCCAGGGCCGACCCGCTCTCTGGGACGTGCCTGGCAGCCTTCCAGACCCGCTCTGCAAACTGACCTCGCCGCAACGCCGGCAAGACGATGAGCGCCCGTCTTCTCCCGGTGAGGTCGCGGGATACCGCCCACCGCGCACACATCCAGTGGCCTTGTGAGACGTTCCAGCAGGCTGCGACGCATGACGCGGGAAGCTCGGCACACGAAACGGCACGTGAATGACACCCGAAAACAACATGCTGGAAAACAACCGCGACCGAGCCGACCGCGCTACCGCCGACGGACATTAGCTGATGGCGTGTCGAATTGCGATACCACCGACGCTACCGACCGCGGGGGCACGGGAAGGGGATGGGGGGGGGGGAGGCGGACGGATGTGAGACTAGCCTTGACTTCGCCGTAATATATGCTGATCTTGACACCTGGCCTAACACATTAGAATATGAATGTCGTTTGTTCTAGAGGTGGAATTGACCCCGCGTCGGTCTCACACCGTCAGCTACATAAATGAATCACTGCCTTTCTGTATTTGATCTGTTCCATACTTCCATAGGCATTTCTGGTCAATGCTGAACATCAATAAATGATCTTATGGATGGTCCTAAATGAGCTGGCACACCCGTTTGGCACGTCCTTATAATGCAAATGCCGATGTCTGGTAACGTGTTTGACGTCTCGATCTGCGACGTTTCGAAATAAAAATGATGCGGTGATAATTCGAGACAACTGTCCCGAGTGCATGAAAAGGTGCAAGTTTGTGAATTGCCACTCTCGACGTCTAGCATTGTAAATTGCGATGCTTAAAACCTTTGCATTTAGGAAATTCTCTGTTCCATAAGTGTGCCCTTAATGCTTAGAGATAGGGGTTTTTATTTTTTACAAGTTCGGTATATTAGTCCGATTGTAGCAGCCGTAGCAGCTACCTACACATAAAGCCGTATCGTGCTACTTTCAAGCAATTTTCGCATTAGTGACATTCTGCCATCGGATATTTCTAATGTGCTTGATAGATTTTTAATAAAAATTATGTTATTTTGCAGTATTCATCGAAATCAAAACAGTTGCCGACTGCCGTGCTATCCTTCTGGCACCTAGCAACTGCAGTAAACCCTGCAGGCCCAACCACCCTCACTGCGCCCCACTCACCTGGTCCACCACCGTTGACCGGTCGTCACCTCAGACCTGTCACCGTCACCCGTCACACAGTCCGCACCGCTCCTCACCCGGCCGGCGCCGGCGCTGCACTGGCCCGGCGCTCCGCCCGGCGCACCGCGCGCCCGGCGCTCGGCCGCCCGTTCTTGTTCTGGGTCACCCGCGGCGGTCGGCCGACGGCTGCGACGCTACCCGGGCGACGATCCACCGCGAGAAGACCGGCTGGGGGCAGCCGAAACCACGATCGGCATCCCGCCGGTGCCGTCGGCGATGGTTTCACTCTTCATGGAGTGCGCCGCGCCCCGGCGTGGCGGTCACTTTTTAGCCGAGCCCCGGGGGTGGCCGCCCGCCGCTCGTGCTGCAGTTGGCTTTCTCTGGGTGGCGCAGCCGAGTCTCCCGGCAGGGATAAGGATCGCCGGAGAAAAGGTGTCTGGATGAGGCCCCTCCCGAGTCTTCATAAGGCGAGAAAAAAGTGTTTTGAAGCGTCCCCAGACTGATGTGGAGATGCCGGGTGATGTATTTGAATCTTATTGTTATGAGGTCGTTTGTATTCAGTGGCGAAATGATGAAGGAAGCCGTATTGGCTTTTAAGGAAGCTGGTCCAGAATATATCTAAACTCACTTTCAGTATTTCAAAACGTCTGCCGACCTCCTTTATACTAGCAGAGTGGAGACCGTGTGGGCTTCAATGGTTTGCAGATCTTTTTAAGCGGTCTATTGTTTTTCTGTTATCAGTCTCTGAATTCTGATACTTAATAACTCTACATTTTGCGACTCCTACTTTATATAATAAAATTCGGATATAAATATGTTTCTATCTCTATATCAGCTCGTAACATAGGAACTTGGCTGTATTTATGTAGTGTAAATGTTTCAGGTACTCTCGAATCTCGATATATCTCCCTGTTTGCCTTTCCATCTTAGCTCTTTTGTAATCTTGAGTTTTTTATAACTGTTTGGTATGAAAGAAACTCAAAGCTGAAAACGGTTAGGGACCCGCAATGTTTTGCTGGTTATTCTTGAAACGATGATTATTCAATTCATTCTTCGACCAATTTACTGAGCGTTTGAGTTTGATTTACTGAGCGTTTGAGTTCATAATGAGGTGAGAACAATCAACATCTCCCACACACCAATCCTTCAGTTCGCACAGCCCCGGGGAAGGTTTGTACACCAGAAGTCTCTCTATAAACTCCTCCCCTTCCCGCGTCCACCTACCCAGCGCCGGGGGAGATCTCGGGCCGCACCCCACGCCGTCAGAGGAAGAAAGTGACTCCAGATTCCTGGCTGGGTCGTCTGAGAGTTAGGACAGTCCGGTCCGCATGAGTGGCCGATCTCTCTCTCTATCCGACTCTCCCTGCGTCCCGGGATTAAACACGTCCCCCCGAGCTGCGCTCACGATAATTTGGCCGTCTCTGGCACGGAAAGTGAGACCGCCCGGCCGTCCATTTGATAATATCCGTAATTGTGTGGTGCTTACTTACCTTGGGGCGCCTGGACCGTTTTGGACGCTGGGAAACTTACCTAATTAACTACGTAGGGTGTATCTCGGGGCATCAAAGTAGCATCACAGAGGCCAATGGCCGCAAACAAGCACCATATACCATTTAGCAATGGGCGCTTGTTTAGAGGAGCATCAAAGTGCAGAAGCACTGACATGCTTCAGAGAAGTAACTGTGGTTTGTGATTATCTTACCGTTTTTATGTGATCATCCCACAAAGCTTTTGGGAAAAATAATTACAATAGATATTTATCATCCACGATGTCGATTCCACAAAACCATAGGGGATTGGTATTTACTAAATTACTAACTGCCTGGGAAGCTAAATTACCGAATCGGACCGGATGTCCACCGTCCATCGCATTCGCATAAAACTAAACAAAGGTATGTCTATTTGGCCTCCTGCTCGGCCACACTTTAGGTATTAGGCATACAGATGCCAGAGCCGGCCCTTTCCCCGTTGAAATGCCTGCTAAACGGCGGTCCGGGGTCTCACTGCGGTCTCTTGTTCCTCCACAAACGGCCCATTTTAACTCATGTGATGTCCCTCCCATCCCGGCGGCGCGGCGGCGGGGGCGGCCGCCACCGCGAGGGTCGAGGCCGTGCATTGAGCAACTGCAGTGCGGGTCACACGCATTCACCCATCAGTCAACTCCAACCATGAGCCTGGCATTCGGTGTACATACCTCGGCCACCTACGAGGCAGCCCGCGCTCGCTCATTCGTTGTTCCCATTGTTAGCGTTAATTAAATTGTTGAGCAGCAGCGGCGCACGGCACGCAATGTGGGCTCTGCACTATTAGACCATACCTTATGAATCAACGGTAGGCGCGCTCCAAGGAACAGTGACGAATGCAGTTCAGTCATGAAAAAGCATGCCTTTCTGTTAGGTAGGTGATATCAAGGCCGTATATAGGGGTGATATAATAGGTTAGATCTTTTCGATGGACCGTTTGCGTTTCAGAGCATGATAGAAAAGTCACGAGGGCATGTGGAAGGTGTGAACTGGAGCAGCAACTGAGCCTATCCTGGTCAGACGGGTGTCCCGGTGGTACACGGTGCACCTGACCTCTCAGATTGTCACGTTACCCCAGAGGGATGCCATGGCTACTCCTTTGGAGCTGTCCTGAAACGCAACGATTGTCGACCCGTCCGTCGTTTTCATCCTCAGGACATTCGAATCCTTCTCCACGCCGCAGCCCTCAGTCCGGGCTGGACAGACTTTATCTCATGCGGGCTGCTCCCTCGGAGCGGGCCAGCGGCACCGCTGCTCCCAAGGGAGCGCACCCGTAGCCGGGTGCAGTGAGCACTTGGGGCCTGGGGAGCTGATCGGCCTGTCCTTTGGGGCGGGCTCAGCCCCGGTGACTAGCATTAGAGTACCTGTCCAGCCCATGGACAAATGTCTCCCCCTAATTCCTATCGTCCTTCCGGCGCCTTTTGTCATCCCGTTTGTCAGACCGAAAGGGTCTTACCCAACAAACCAAAACAAACAAAAGTAACAAAACGATTGTCTCATGTCATGTGGCGACCGTTCCTACCGTCAAAGGCTCCGCCACATTCTCAGGATGATCGGGAGGGGTCCAACCCACATCACTTTATATGTACAGTCTGTCTTAAAAGTACCGCGCAAAGTGACGGTGGATCCATCGAGCCTGATTGAGGAAGGGCCTGCTAAATTTGGGTCACCGAAGCAATTAACATCCTCGTCCATTCCCTAGCTCAATTGGTCGGTGACTTTCAAATTAAAGCAGGCCCTTTCTCGGTCAGGCCTGATGGATCCACTCATCCACCGTCACTTTGCGCGGTACTTTTAAGACAGACTGTACATTGATGGCAATAGCGGATCCGAAATTATTGGGCTGGGGCTGGACCCCAGCGACCCTCCTCCCCCTCCCCCGCCCCGTGGTGGTTACCCAACTGCCGAGCCCCTAGGGTTTACCCGAGCCCGACAGCCTTGCCGACAGCGCAATGTCATACACTTGCTGCCATCTAGGTGTCGGCCGAAAAGTTGTAGTTACGTAGCCCTTTACCCAAAGTCTTTCTTATCTGGAAATTCTTTAAAGATTAATTTATTCTTGCTTAAATTTATCTAAAAATAAATTTGATGATTCAGACGATGAAACAAGATGGAAAAGAGGCAGACAATAAACTGAGGTAAAAATGAAAATATATTTTTGGGAAAAGCTTCTGCGCTTTCCGTTCGCGTGCCGCCGAAAACCGGTGAGCGTACCCTGGTGCATTGTGTTGAATTTCCGTTGGACACAATTCTTGACTGGTCTGCTGTGAATTTGTTTTAGCAAGGTGAGCTCTTTATACCAAAATATTGTTAATTAGCTGTCGGAATTTCTAAATATTGTTTCATAGCTTTCGTATGGGTTGGGTTTTGTCAGAGTCATGGTTGACCGAAATTGCAGTCCGGTAGGTGAGCCTTGCTTTGTAGATTCTTGATTTACTATTAAAAATATAAGCTATGTATTGCGATAATGCCCACTGTAAATTGGATATTGATATTTACCTGAGCAGTTGCTGAAAATTTGATGATGGGTGCATGTTTAGACAATTCTGGCGCACCGTTGGTGGCCAAGGTCGTGCTCACTGCTCAGGTTTTAAAGGAGTTGGATAGGGTCTTGACTTAAACATATAAAAGACTCATGCCTTAAGCATGGGGTTTTGAGCTGTAATAGCAGGTTTGTAGCTTAAGCTGAGACTAGCACGTTAGGAGTGTAAAGCTTTACGCTCCAATGATCGTCTTATGCAAATATTCTGGTATTTATCGTTCCTAAAAGAGTGCCATGCAGAGGAATGTGTCAGTTGTAGAAGAATGCCTAAAATGCAGCCACTTGTCGCAGAGGCTAAGCTTTGACAATCTGGATGCGTTTGCTTTTGAGCTATGCAATATGATTGGCCAAAGCATGATAAGGTTCTGCGTCACCACTATTAAACCTCTACTTAAGATTGAATATATTTCTTCCTATTGAAAAATAGTTAATAATTATTACAAATGTAAATATTAATGATTTTCTGATCATTTAAGCTTAAAAAAATCATAAAACTTTAGCAAAACAAGTTTGAAAGTGGTAGGTATATTTCCTTTAAAATAATAATTTTATTAATTGGATGAGTGAAGGGTAATTTTATTCATTTTCATGAACAATTATTTTTTTCAGATAACATGGTATTAAGTATTATCGGGCTTGAATTTGGCACACCATATTTTCCAGTTGTTTAGTCCTAGTTCCAGATTTTGCTGAGTAGTAAACTGAAAATTTAACTGCACCTGCTGTCTTTTGAAACATCAAAGTACACTTTCAACTTAGTTCCTGTTCATTTATTAGTCTCATTTACCTATTCAGTCCTGTATAGCAGATACATTGTGAGGAAAGTGAGAAATGCAAATCTTTTATTTGATTTCTGCCATCACTGTGGCCTCATTTCAAGTGTGATGAAAACCAAATTTTGAAAGCTATGGATGCCTCTGCAGGAATGTGTGCAAAGCTTTGATTTTCACATGGCATCAATATCAGAAATGTAAAGGGGTTGACTCAGACTGCCTCCCCCTCCTCCACTGGCTGACAGGTGATGTGGAG